TAAAGGATACAATAATGTCCATAAAGGATAATTAGTTATCTCTCTTTAACTTTCTTAATTACCAAAAATACCAAACTCACTGTCATCGAGTCATTCCGACTCATGTTGCTGCTATTGTTGTTGTTGTGTGCTGTCAAGTCGGACCCGACTCATAGCAGCCCCTCCTTGGGTTTCTGAGGCAGTATCACTAGGGAAGTAGATTGCCCCATCTTCTTTCCGAGGAGTGGCTGGTGGGTTTGCCACCAGCCTTCTGGTTAGCGGTCAGATGCCTCAGGCACTACAGCACTAGAGCTCATAACTTCTTTAAGTGAGGGAGTTTAATTAGCAAACTCCCTTTAGTATTGGGGTAAATGAGAATTTTAGAGCTCTCTGAGTCCTGATTTGTTGTCCTCAGAAGTTATTTGGACTCACATTTCTCTGAATAATCAGTTTAGCATTTTAAAGTAGCGTATGTGAGAGGGCTATCAGGGTTGCTAGTTAATTTTTAAAATTCCTTTAACAAATGAGTTATAAACAAAACTTAAACTTAGTGGTGGAATAATACCATGTCAAAAATAACCATAGCTTGTTGGAAAAACTTAGTATTAGGCTTATCTTGTGAAGGGAAATGCATATCTAACGTGTGTGTGTGTGTGTGTGTTTAAACTCCTAATTTATAGAAAGGTGCCCAATCTGAAGCAATAGGATGAAAATTTATAGAAAAGAAATTGAGGAAGTGGGACCAGAAGACAACTAGTTAGATTCTGGCAATCAATCATTTACTTGCTAAAATTTGTTGAATGCATATGTTGTTGTTAGGTGCTGTTGAGTAGATTCCGGCTCATAGTGACCCTATGTACAACAGAAGAAACACTGCCTGGTCCTGCACCAACCTTACAGTCATTCCCATGCTTGAGCCCATCATTGTAGCCACTGTGTCAATCGTCTTACTAAGGGTCTTCTCCTTTTTCGCTGACCCTCTACTTTACCAAGCATGATATCCTTCTCCAGAGACTGGTCCTATCTGACAACATGACCAAGCTACAAGAGATGAAGTCTGACTACTCTCATTTCTGAGGAGCTCTCTAGCTGTGCTTCCTCCAAGACAGATTTGTTCATTCTTCTAGCAGTCGGTGGGACGTTCAAAATTCGTCACCAACACCATAATTCAACCACCACTCGTCTGTCAGTTTGTGGGCGTGGAACGAGGAATATCATTGCTGATGTCAGATGGATCTTGGGTGAAAGCAAAAGAATACCAAAAAGATGTTTACTTGTATTTTATTGACTATGCAAAGACATTCGACTGTGTGGATCATAACAAATTATGGGTAACACTGAGAAGAATGGAAATTCCAGAGCACTTAATTGTGCTCATAAGGAACCTGTACATAGACCAGAGGTACATATCCCCTTGAATAGAACAAGAGCACGCTATAGTTTAAAATCAGGAAGGGAGTGTGTCAGGATTATATCCTTTCCCCATACTTATTCAGTCTGCATGCTGAGCAAATAATCTGAGAAGCTGGACTATATGAAGAAGAATGGGGCATCAGGACTGGACGAAGACTCATTAACAACCTGCTATATGCAGACAGCACAACCTTGCTTGCTGAAAGGGAAGATGACTCAAAGCACTTACTGATGAACATTAAAGACTGCAGTCTGCAGTATGGTTTACACCTCAATATAAAGAAAACAAAAATCCTCACAACTTGACCAGTAAGCAGCATCACCATAAATGGAGAGAAGATTGAAGTTTTCAAAGATTTCATATTACTTGGTTCCACAGTCAACACCAGTGGAAGCAGCTGTCAAGAAATCAGATGATGTACTACACTGGGCAGATCTGCTGCAAATGACCTCCTTAAAGTACTGAAGAGCAAAGACATCTCTTTGAAGGCTAAGGTGCACCTAACCCAAGCCATGGTGTTTTCAGTCGCCTCATATGCATGTGAAAGCTGGACAGTGAATAAGGAAGACTGAAGAAGAGTTGATGGTTTTGAATTGTGGTGTTGGCAAAGAATGCTGAAAGTACTGTGGACTGCCAGGAGAACTAACTAATCTGCCCTGGAGGAACTGCAGCCTGAATGCTCCTTGGAAGCAAAAAAGGCCAGACTTGGTCTCACTTACTTTGGTCATGTTGTCAGAAGGGACCATTCTCTGGAGAAGCATATCATGCTTGGCATAGTGTCAGGTCAGTGAGAAATAGGAAGGCCTTCCACAAGATGGACTGATATAGTGGCTGCAACAATGGCCTCAGGCATAGCAGGGATTGTGAGGCTGGCACAGGACTGGGCAAGGTTTCGTTCTGTTGTACGCAGGGTCGCTATGAGTCGGAGCCGACTCGACGGCACCTAACAACAACAGCAACAACCACAATTCAAAAGTGTCAACTCTTCTTCTGTCTTTCTTATTCATTGTCTAGCTCTCTCATGCCTAAGAGGCTATTGAAAATACCATGGCTTAACAAGAACAGATATATGCACGCCGATGTTCATCGCAGCACTATTTACAATAGCCAAAACATGGAAACAACCTAGATGTCCATCAGCTGAGGAATGGATAACCAAACTATGGTACATACACACAATGGAATACTATGCAATGCTGAAGAATAATGTAGAATCTGCAAAACACCGC